TCCCTACATGATACCTCTCTGCTCCTGTTTTGCATAAGGCTATTATCATACATCGATCCCACAAACCTTGTGGTTACTTATAGTGAGTTTCATTTCATTAAATACAACTAGGCTGACTGCTGGCTCCTAGATGGGGATTTTTTTAGGCACTAGACCCTTGGTACAAAATCCTCTTTGTACAGAACCATATATATTTATCAAGAAAAAGCAGTACAAATATCCCTTGAATTCTTTTTGCACTTGAAAATAAACAAGACACAAAATGGTGACCACATGCATATACCAAAGGTAGGGAAAAAGTGCAGAGAACCATGTGCACATATGGCACCTAATGCTTCTGTGTTCATAGTGTTGGCACACCACACTGCATAGAGGGCTTTTCTATCTGAGCTGGGGGTAGGGTGAAGTCCATACCCTTCTCTGTATGCCAATTAGCACTAGGAAGGAAGCATATTTTCCAGGGAATGCATATTTTGCCTTTTCCAAGGGCAGGGGAAGCACTACTCTTCTGCAACCACCAGGAAGTGCTACTAAATCTGTTAAACCTTAGGTAACCATATTTGCACGAAATTCTATGGCTAGAACCCATTCCCCCAGCATTCCACTGGTTCACGTATTTGTGCTTAGTGGAAAAGTTAAGGATGCTGCTTATAAAACACTTTGAAGTTAAAGTTACTCTTTCCAGACAATTTTTCACTACAGTTTTTCTTTAGCCAGAAAGGGTTTTCAGACTTTGAAAGTATATTCACTATATTGACAATTTAGTTAATTTACACTATTAATATATTTTTGCCCTTTTGTATTATTCAACTCATTCTCTTATCCAAGGCAGCTGGATAGAGCTCTGGGTTAGAAAAAACATAATGGGTCAGATTCTCAGTGGGTGTAAACTTGTATAACATCATTGACTTCAAATGAGCTATACCATTTTATACCTGGTAAGAATATAGCTCATTATCTTTCAAATTGTGTCACCTGTATTGGATTAAATCCTCCAGCAAGTTGGACCGCTTGTGTTACATGCCCTGCCCATGTTAAACATGTCTCTAATGTGTATAAAATAGAAATAAAGACACTGGTGATACCATGGAGTTAAAAGAATCTGTTGACTATGCCCTTGAAAAATACCCCATAGAAGATGCTTACAAAACCATTATTTTTCTTACAAGTATTTTTCATTACTTATGAACAGGTGTAGATTAGATGGTCTTACCTGAGAAACTGGTCAACTGTTGCTAAACACCATGTATTACCAAACACTAATCTATAGTTCACCCAAATTTTGGACAATTTACCACACTGTGTTCCCAGAGTCAAAAACCGGGGGGGGGAAGGGTTCTCTCCTTTGCTTATGTCAAGGATCTCTGTAATAACATTTTTATTATAACAAAAGGAGAGTGAGCCAAGTTATGTCTTCATTGATTTTAACAGACTAAAATGACTATGAGATCCAACACATACAAATGGTGTTTATCCCCTCCTCAAAATTGTAAAAATACCAAGAATTTTTCTCTTCCTCCACCCCTAAAAGAAAATATCACTCTGGGGTTAAACATAAAGGGTAAGATTGAATTATGATTTTCTATTACTGAAATTTTTCTCAGCTGTTTGCATATGTTGAGTGGTAGCTGCCTTAATGTTTTTCTCTCCTTTTGTTTTGTAACAACTGATAAATCCATCTCCTACTGCCCTCTCTCTTTACTTGTATTTCACAATAAATTAAAATAACACATAATAATTTACCCAAACTCCTTTCAAACAGTAAACCAATGTGAACTGCCCAAAATAGTGTCTTGAAAACCAATTATGCAAGAATCTGATAAATTCAACTTCTGATTCAGGAGATCCCAGAAGAATGTAAAGGTGGCTTCCTTTTGGGGATGTTTTGTTCATGTTGGCTGAAAATTTGCCCTCCACTTCAGCCAAAGAAAAGCAGACAAAGGACAGGAAAGCCTTGATACAAGAAGATAGGGAAGAAGTTCTGTGGATAAGCTACCTTAATGAGACATCAGAGCCAAGACTTCAGATCCACTGGATTGTAAACCTGGGTTTGGGAAGAACTGGAGTGGTGGCCAAACTCTTCCCTGGCTACTGCCAATTGAACTCCATTTTGCAAGTTGCTGAGCACTTCTGCTAGGCAATGAGACCCCTTAACTTCTATTGAAGTTATGAAGAGCTGAGGGCTCTTGCCAACTGACTGTCCAGTGTGGGCTAAAGATTCCATTTCATAGATCCAGGAGACCTGGGTGAAGGGAGAGCTCATTTATACGGGTTGTGTGTCCAGTTCCACCACTGTTCATATGCATCAGGTTTCCCAAAGTTTCAGTTCTTTGGTTAAACATACTTGCAAATATGTCAATAAATCTCTGGAATCTTGGAGGAAAAGTAAAAAAAAAGATAAATTTGTAGTGGTTTCTTTTGATGCTTTGTTGCTTTTGATTTTATTTAGAGATTTTTTTTTTTGTTTTCTTCTTCCTTTCTTTTTCTTTTACCACCAGGGAGGAATTTATGTCCTCACACTGCTGGACACATTTGCAGCTGGGACTTCAATCTTGTTTGCTGTTTTAATGGAAGCAATTGGAGTTTCCTGGTTTTATGGTACGTTTTTAAAATTATTTTTGTAACTGTGGTGGCAAAACTCTTGCAAAATTTTCACTACATTCATGATGACCTGAAACACAAGGGTAAGCAATAATGAATTTGTATTATATGGCAGAAATCAAGAAAATACCAGTTTTCCTCAGCAATCTTCATCCAGTTTACAGAGAGTAACAGGGACTTCTAGAACATCCCAGTTCTTAGAACCTTGCACAAAGCTAAAATCCACTGCCTTGTACAGAAGATTGCTGTAGGGAGGAGGTCCTACTCCTTCTGCCAGGGAGAATTAGCTGCCAATACTAGCTATGGGTTGCTGTAGTAGCACTGAACCAGGTAGGGTTTCAGGCCAAAGATTAATCCAGTTCCAGAGACATTACTTTCTGCTCTTCCCTGCTTCAAACATTGTTACCTACAAAGAGGTTGCCTTGTGTAGCCGTATGGGGGCCTGTCAAAATCCCCACACAGTGGGAATAGATGGACCTCCCCATATAATTTTGTATCTATTTCTTCCTTTTTAGTTCCTGTCCGTAGCAGCATTGTACCACATGATGAAATACCCCTGTGGCTCTGAATTGTTTTATTTTTTCCAATGTACAATATTTTCTTATGGATAAATCCAACAGTCAACAGATGTACATTAGAAATAGTCCATGTTGCATACTGGCTTGAAATATTTAGTAGCGGCTTAAGAAACCTTTTTTTAAAAGAGTTGAAAAGGGTTAGGTTGCCACTGACTTTCAGTAAAAAATAGGCCTCAAAGCATCTTTGTGTTGTTGGAAATCTCATCCTATATGTGAATCCAATTTACATTGCCAGAATAATATTTATTAGCAACAATATGCTGGACAGGGTTCAGTTCTCCTCTGACAAACTTCTACATGTGTGACTGTTCTGTAGATCCAAAATGAAATCTTATCTAGTTAAAATATTTTGCTGCTTCTGAGGGATTTTCAAAAGGCACGTAAATCATTTAGGTGCCAGTTCCTGTTGTAAGTCAGAGGCAGGTGGGTAACATCTCAGTGTGCCTGGCCTCTTTCCCCTCAGCAGAACAAAAAGTGAAAGGAACAGGTGGTAGACATTACACATAAACCAGTTTAAGTAATCGGAAACTGGTTTAAACCTGTAACAGAACAGACTTCGGTGCACATAAACCAGTTTGAAAATGGCTGAAATTGGTTTGAGATAAACCTGGTTGAATGTAGTACCAGACTTAACTGATTTGGGTCAAACCAGTTTATGCAATGTCTGTCCCAGACCTCTTGCTGGTTTAAGTTAAACTAGAGACCCCCAGCATCCTGGCATGCTCTCTGGGCTGGGCTCTCTGCTCCAGTCCAGCCAGGCTGGCCCACCCCTCTGCTCCCCAGCCCGAGCAGAGACAGGCAGGGGTGGGGGTCTGGCCAGGGAGGGATTTAATTCCCTACTCTCTATCCCACCAGCAGGGACTCAAGCTGGGTCTGCCGGGCACTCTCCCATTACTGCTACAGCAGTGGGGCATCACGGCCCCTGAAGCAGATGGGGGGCCGGGAGGAGAGTTTTTGTTTCCTATCTACCTACACAGCCAGCTGGGTCTGCCTCCCATCACTGCTGCTGTGGTCGCTCCCTGCAGGGGAATAGGCCCCCTGCTGTCCCTTCAGCTGGATGCTGGAGAGAGGAGGAGGAGGAAAAAGCCTGTCCATGCCCCTGCCCCACCACTGCAGGGCTCGAATCCCCTGCCAAATCCCCTTCTCAGCCTCTGGGCTGGGTGAGGCCGGTGGGGGTGTAGGGGGCAGAAGCCCATCACAGGGCTTGGCTCTGCCCCCAGAGCTGGGAGCCATACCCCTCTCTCAGCTGACCCAGAGGAAGGGGACATGGCAAGGGACTTCAGCTTCTCCTCTCCCTCCTTCCCCCTCTCCTCTCCTCACCTGGCCCAGAGACAGAAGGGAACATGGCAATGGACTCCAGCCCTGCTCCCAGCTCTGGGGGTATGGAGCCAAGGCCCAGTACAGCTCCTCAATCCTCCCAGCCAGCCCAAGGCTGAGAAGAGGAACCCTCTCCCCTCCTGTGCTGAGAAACCAGGCTGCTGGGCACCTGCCACTACATCTGCACTCAGGGCAGCATCCAGAGAAATAAGCCCCCTCCTGTTGGGAAGGTACCAGGGCAGCAGCCTGACTTCTCAGCACAGGAGGGGAGAGAGTTCCTCTTCTCAGCCTTGGGGCTGAGGGGAGGGGGGAAGGAAGGAGAGGAGAAGCTGAAGTCCCCTGCCACATCCCCTTCTCATCCTCTGGGTCAGCTGAGAGGGGGGCATGGCTCCCTGTTCTGGGGGCTGAGCCAAGCCCTGCTGTGGGCTTCTGCCCCCGCAACACCCTCCACGGATCAGCCAGCCCAGAGGCTGAGAAGGGGATGTGGCAGGGGACTCCAGCTCTGCAGTGGCAGGGTGGGGACATGGCCACACAGGATCCCTTGAGGGAGCAGGGACAGGGTTATTCCTCCTCCTTTCAGCATTCAGCAAAGGGGACAGCAGGGGGCCTATTCCTCTGCAGGGAGCAAGTGTAGCAGCAATGATGGTGGGCAGACCCAACTGCCAGTGGGGTTACAGGGGAAACTAACTCTCCTCCCTGCACCCCTCTGCCTCAGGGGCCATCATGCCCCACTATTGCAGCATTGAGGAGAGAGTGCCCAGCAGACCCAGCTTGGGTCCCTGCTGGTGAGATAGAGAGGAGGAATTAAACCCTCCCTGGCCAGTTCAGCCCAGACTGGCCATGCCCTCTTCCCCCCTCCCTGCCCCCCCCAGCATAGGTTCCCTGCAGCCAAGGACACGCTCTAGCACCCCCCGCCCCCTGGCTCCTGGCCTGAGCAACTGCAGGCATGTGCTTCCAGTCCTCAGTCCAAAGAGAATGTTTGTCCTGTTACAAACTGGTTCAACTTAGGCAGGTTAGACTAACCTGCAAAGGTTAAATCAATTTAGACTCCAACTTTTTTTGAATGTCTGTCCCTAGTCTCTTAAAGGCAAGACACAATCCAAAGACCACTCTCTTCATATTCTCCCTACAGTACACAGCATTACAGTAGGGACAGGGTAGGACAGGGAGAGAACACCCCCAGAGGCAGAACAGGATTACATTACCCTTCATTAATGGGAACAGCAATAGGCAAAGTCCTCTGGAGGCCATGCTCTAGGAGATGTTTTGAAATCTAGGTGGCATTTGTGTACCAGCTCCATTACAGTGGTATGCTATTGAACCCTGACAAATAATATTTATTCAAAGTACAGGCCAAATTCCAGTCTCAGATACACATACCCAGCTTCTGTTTACTCCCTTGGCAATTACACCAGCAATATCAGAGGGCGTAATTTGGTCCTTAATATTTTCCATTCCCACAAGAAGCTTAGTATCATAAATAAAGAACAGAGCATCAAATACATGCAAGTGGCATAAGAAAGAGTGACATTTACTTTTCCTTTCCTACTGTATAAATTATTATAACATGTATTTGGTAGCCAGCCACAGCTGCTGCTCCTCCACACCTATATGAATCCACTTAGATTACATTTTATCCCAGTTAAGCTTATATACAGTTATGTATTGAACTTGTTAACATGGTAGGGCAGGCACAGTGTGGGCTCAGTATTCAGTTTTTAAATGCATGAGATCTAGGGGGAAATGCCCTATGTCATACACTTCGGTGTGTGTGTGTATTATATACTAGCCAAATGCCTGTCAAGAATGACAGGGGAGGGGGCTGGGATGGAGTGTCACCACCTAACACCCCATGCTGCCGCTGTTCTGCCTCCTGCAGGGAGCAAGGTAGGTCCTCAGCACGGCTTACAGGGAGTGGGGTCAGGGAACCAAGGCCAGTGCTGCTGGCCCCAGCTCCCCCACCCCCTGTCCAGTCCTTGGCACTGCTTGCAGAGAGCAGGATGGGGGAACTGGCTTCTGTCTGGTCCTCGGCATGGCTTCATAATCATGGCAGCACTCCCCCCATGCTTGGAGCACTCTGACTGGCTGTTTCTGTCAGCCAATCGGAGGGCAAATAAAGCATTATGGACAGACAGACGGACTTGGCGGGGGGGTGTAGCTCCCCTGTCCCAGTGCTGCTCAGCTCCCTACTCCTCTGGGGAGCCAGGAGCC